TTTAAAGAATTGAATCAGGTGTCTCTCCCTACTCAGAGCCAACCAGTTAGGAAGCCTGGTGCTTTGTTGCTGGGGGTCTAAATGGGCACAGCCACTATGAAAAACAGTAAGAATTTCTTCAAAACAATTAAATATAGAATTACCATATGACCCAGAATCCCACTTCTGGGTATATACCTAAAGGAAAAGAAATCAGTATCTCAAAGAGATATCTGGACCCCCACATTCATGGCAGCATTACTCACAATAGCCAAGACATAGAGCCACCTAAATGTTGCTCTATGAATGGATACAGAAAATGTGTTATACACTTGACTCTTGAACAATACAGGGGTTAAGTGTGCCGGCACCCCACCCTCCACACACACACACAGTCAAAAATCCTCATAGAGCCCTGGCTGGTTTGGCTCAGTGGATAGAGTTTCTGCCTGTAGACTGAAGGGTCTGGGTTCTATTCCGGTCAAGGGCACGTACCTAGGTTGCAGGCTCCATCCTCGGCCCTGGTCGGGGCACTTGTGGGAGGCAACCAATCGATGTGTCACTCTCACATTGATGTTTCTCTCCCTGTCTCTCCCACTCCCTTCCACTCTCTCTAAAAACCAATGGAAAAAATATCCTCCAGAGCAGCGGTCGCCAACCTTTCGGACCTCAGGGACCACCAGTTGGCGACCGCTACTCCAGAGGATTAACCAAAAAGAAGAAAGAAAATCCTGGTATAACTTTTTGTTGTTGTTAATCCTCACCCTCCTCTGCTATTTTTTATTGCCCATGTTGCATCCTGATAAGTGCTTATCTGGTTGTTGTTTCTCTTCCTCCTGAGATATGAGCTCACTGTGGAATCCCCAGCCCCTGGCACAGGGAACATTTCTATCCTCTTATCCATCACATTTTTTAAGGCATTTGAAAGTAAATTGTGCCCTAGCCGGTTTGGCTCAGTGGGGAAAGTGTCGGCCCACAGACTGGAGAGTTGAGGGTTCAATTCCAGTCAAGGGCATGTACCTCAGTTGCAGGCTCCATCCCTGGCCCGGTCGGGGCATGTGCGGGAGGCAACCAATCAATATGTCTCTTACATGGATGTTTTTCTCTCTATGTCTACCCCCCACCCCCCACCCCCGCTCCATTCCACTCTCTAAAAACCAATGGAAAAATAGCCACTGGGTGAGGATTAAAAATACATACAAAAAAACAAAGAAAGTAAATTGCAAGCACATGGTAAGTGCTCAGCAAATAGTTCTGTAACTGGACAATCAATGGGTCCGTGTTGCCTGTCACTACTTGAGCCAATTAAGCAGAGACAGGGTTGAATCACATATGAGCGTTTATTCCAATACTGCCGGCAGTATGGGAGAGCAGCAGGTCATCCACAAAAATCTGCTCCTCAGCCCCCCATAAGCCAGCTGCTTATGTAGGGTAAGACAAAGATTACATGGGGAAGTAGGGATTACAGGAATGGGGAAGTAGGCTATGCAGGCTGGGGTGGGACTCCATTGTTTGGGCAACAAGGTTGTTAATCTTTCCATGATAATAGGCAGTTCTTGAATGAGAATGGTTCCAAAGTTGATTCCCAGGTCCAAGGTTGACTCCCAGGTCCTGGGAGCTTACAACTCCCAGCCAGGTCAGAATGTCCTTACTTTAACCAACACAAGGCAATCGTGGTTAACAGAGCATGATTATTTCCCATAGCCATAGCTAGTCCCCAATATTCTATCTTTGCCCCTAACAGTTCTTGAGTGAACAAACAGAGATTCGAGTTGGTCATGCACACAGCCAGGTCCACTGAGCCTAGATATGTAGGTCTCCTGACCATATTCACACAGGTGGGTAGACCTTTCCACATATTTGCATCTCCAAAATGCCACAATAATGAACTGGCCACTTTATGGCAGGACTTTTACAGGGTAGCTGAGATGCAGTGGTCACCAGGATAGATCCAGTCCCTGCTCCCCCAGAGCCCACAGGCCAGTAGGAGGAGACAGACATGAGACACATAGTCACACTAATAAATATATATAAATAAATATACAGCAGTCCCCCCTTACCCACAGGGGATATGTTTCAGGACCTTCAGTAGATGCCTAGAACCACCAATAGTACTGATCCCTATATACACTATGTTTTTTCCTATACACACATAGCTATGACAAAGTTTAATTGATACATTAGGCACAGTAAGAGATTAACAGCAGTAAGTAATAATAAAATAGAGCAATCATAACACTGTACTGTAATAAAAATTATGTGAATACTTTCGCTCTCTCTAACAGATCTGATAACCCACAGCTATTAAGTGTCTACTGGGTGGGGAGTATACATAGCATGGATACGATAGACAAAGGGATGATTCACATCCCAGGGACCGCACCAGATTTCATCAATCCACGCAGAATAGCATGCAATTTAAAACATATTAATTGTTTGTTTCTGGAATTTTCCATTTAATATTTTCAGGCCGTGGGTGTAACTGAAACTAGGAAAGGGAAACCGTGGATAATGGAGGACTACTGTGTCATGGCAACCTATGCAGTGTTGTTAAAGAAAAGGACAGCGTATTGTGAGTGAATAGTGGGACCTAGATTAGACTGGGAAGGGCCAGACCATGATGCAATGGAGAGGGGATGTTGAGATGGGGCTGAGGCATGTGTAGGAGTTGGGGACAAAAGGCTACAGCCCAACTCTTCAGGCACACACACACACACAGCCCCAGGTGCTCCCACAAGACACCCTGGGGTCTTGTTCCTTTTTAAAAAATAGATTCTTTTTTTAAAAAATTTATTGATTTTTAGAGAGAGGAAAAGAGAGAGACAGATACACATTTTCCCATCAAGGGAAAAAAGTCTGGGGACCCGAGGGGAGGGTCAAGTGGACATGAGGGGACCTAAAGCAAGCTGTCTGGAGTTTCATCTTGAAAGGTTTGGTGAAAAGGAGGGAAAGGGTGATTTGGGATTGAGACACACTCCTCTTGCTGTGTCTGGAAGAGTGGAGGCAGGAAGATCAGGGAGGAGGCCAGAGCAGAGGTGTCAGGGAGAGAACAGGGCCAGGTGGGAGAAAGGTTTGTGAAGCTGAGTCCTCCATGGGACTAGGTAACTTAGTGCCAGGTGAGGGATTCAAGAGAACCCTGAAAGTCAGGCTTGGGTGGCAGGATGGATGCTACGGCCATCACTGAAATAGGACACACACGAGACAGCTCAGGGAAGCTGATGGTGAAGAGCCCTGAGTGCCAGGCTAGGGAGCTGGGAGCTCACCCCGAGAGCAGTAAGGAGCTAAGGTCAAGCAGGGGAGGGCAGGGCAGATGTGAATTTCTGAAACACCCATCTGGTTGCTGAATGGGAGATGGTTTGGAGAGAGCAAGAACGGAGGCAAGGAGGCCAGGGAGGAGGCCAGGAGAGGGGGCCGGTGAGAAAGGATGGGGCTGCATTCAGATGGGAGAAGGGGCAGGTGGGAGACAACAGGAGGCTGAAAGGACAGGACTTTGTGATGAGCTGTAGGGATAACAACACACAGAAGGGTTAAGGGCAGAGAGATGGCTGCCCAACTCCACCCACCCCTCCACCTCACCCAATCCCCAGAAATGCAAGCTTACAGAGACCTCCATGTGCAAAATACATAGGGGCATAGAAATGGACAGGCAGCAGAACCCACACACAGGCCCCAGGTCTGCAAGGACCACACTGCAAGTTCACAGAGAAACAAACAGAAGGCATGCCAAAAATCAAGGGCGCCTGGTCAGCGGTCATCATCATGTGCAAAGAAGAACTGCACATGCACTGGACCAGGATGTCCTCCCTCTAGCCTGCTTATTCCCATCTTACAGATGGACAAACTGAGGCCTAGCGAGGCCACTCACTTCTAAGATCACCAGTTCCTGGTAGGGCTGGGATTCCAGCCCAACTCTTCAGGCACCCGCCCCAAAGTGCTCCCACAGGACACCCTGGGGTCTTGTTCCTTTTTAAAAAATAGATTCTTTTTTTTTTAATTGTGTTGATTTTTAGAGAGAGGAAGGGAGAGAGACAGAGAGAGAGAGAGAGAGAGAGAGAGAGAGAGAGAGAGAGAGAGAGAGAAACACCAGCGTCAGAGAGAAACATTGATTGACTGCCTCCACGTGCCATGACCGGGGATGGAACCCGAAATCTAGGCATGTGCCTTGACCAGGAATAGAACCCACCACCTTTTGGTACAAGATGCTGCTGATGCCACACCAGCCAGGGCGGGTCCCGTTTCTGTGCCCAGGTGGGTCTCTTGGGCAGGAGGCTCCACGTCTCCCTGAGTGTACCCCGGGGAAGCCACCCGGCAGGTGTTCTTCAGGTTCTGGTTTCTGAGATTTCTCCAGGACTGGAGCTCCTGACCTGGCTTGTCTTCTGAGTATGTCCCATGGGCTGGCAGCGTGCCCCTGCATGTCTCCTCCTGTCCCAGCCTCTGTGTGCTGATGACATCTGACTGTGTGAGTGTGAGTGTGTGTGTGTGTGTGTGTGTGTGTGTGTGTGTGTGTCCTGTGTGTGTGTGTCCTTGGAGGAGGGGGGAGGGGGGAGGAGGAGAAGGAGGAGGAGGAGGAGGAGGAGGAGGAAGGTAGAGGAAGGGGGAGGAGGACGAGGAGGGAGGAGGAGGGGGGAGGAGGACAAGGAGGAGGAGGAGGAGGAGGAGCTGTGAGTGTGAGAGGAGTGCCTGGCTGGGGCTGGGCTGGGGGTGGAGGCCGGGGAGGGGGCATCGCCAGGGCTGAGCGGGGAGTGGAGTTCTGAAGGAATGTTTACGGGACATCCAGAGAGCCCAGGGCGACAGCGCCCTGCGCCGGGTAGAGAAACACACAGCCTCCCTGCCTCTCTGGCCCAGGCTCAGGGGTGAAGCCACCAGGGCTCCTTCCCCTCCTCAGCCTCCCTCCAGGGTCCCTTTAAGACAGGGCTGGTCCTCTCCTCTCCGAAGTTAACCCCTCAAAATCCCAGTGGCCCCCTCGGCTCCCAGCCCGGTGGGTGGAGGCAGGGGGAGGCAGGGGCGGGGGAACGGGTTTCGGAGGTCTGGGAGGGAGAAGATCAGGGAGCAGGGAAGGCGGCCACGGAGTGGAGTGGAGCCGGTGAGGAGCCCTTCCCGTGCCAGGCGGGCAGAGCCAAAGCCGGGGAGCCCGGAGCTGGGGGGAGGGCCGGGGACAACCCGGCCCTGCCCCCTCCCCCTCCGTGTGCCCAGCAACTTCTGAGGAAAGTTTGGCAGAGCTCGCGCGCTGCCCCGAGGATGGGCAGGGTCCCGCTGGCCTGGTGGCTGGCTCTGTGCTGCTTGGTGTGCATGGCCCCCAACGGTGAGTGATGGTGGCCTGAGGGGCAGGACTACCTGTGGAGGGGCAGGGGGAGGTGGAGGGGAGGGGGGATGGCAGGTGTTGGGGGTGGTCCCGAGTTGGCTCAGGGAATTTTCTTGGGACAACGGAGAGGGAGACGGGAGACACAGAGACAAACCCAGAGAGGCCCCGGGGGACAGAGAGGGGCTCAGAGAGGAACAGAGGGACAAGAAATAGAAACTAGGAGGGTCGGAGACGGGAAGAGATGCACACGCCGAGACAGACACCCAGGAGAAGCTGAGGGCAGGGTGGGGGCTGGACTGGAGTGGGGGCCCTGGGGAGAGGCTGAGATGGGGGCTTCCAGGGAAGGAAATTTCCAGAAAGGAGTACTCAGTCCGGCAGCGGGACGGGGAGGGCTGGGAACCCTAGGGGAAAACCCTCAGCACAGTCACCCCCACACCCTGTCCCTGCCCCACCATTGTCTGCTCCATCTCTGGGACCGAGGCTCTGTCTCAGGCTCCAGCTCTACCATCTCTGTGGGTCTCCCTCCCTCCCTCTCTGCCTGTCTCTATCAATGTCACTGCCGTTTTCTCGTGTCTCTCCACCACTTTTTTCCCCTAGGGTGTCTCTTCATCTCTCACCCTCTGTCTCTCTCTGGGTCTCTGTTCCTTTCTGTCTCTGACTCCCCCTGCTCAACTTTTCTCTGGCTTCTCTCCCCGTCTCTCCTTCTCGCTCTCTCCCTCCCCCTCTCCCTCTCCTTCCCTCCTTTTCTTCCCCGCCATCCACCAGCCTGACCTGTCACGTCTCTGGAGACCCTAAGGGAGGGCAGCGGGGCAAGAGCTGGCCCTGCCCGGCAGGCCAGGACGTGGGAGGCTGCCAGATCCCGGGCCCTCTTCCCAAAGTTGAAGGATGAAGGCTGGACCCTAATCCCCTGGGAAGGCTCCCATCCTCCCCTCAAGGCGCCTCCCTCCAGCCCCCGCTGAGGTCACTCTACAGCTATGTGGGCCTAAAGGCCTGGCAAGGTCGTGGCTGCCATAAGCAGGCCCAGAGGGTGGGACTGAGGATTTGGAGGGAAGTGGAGTTTCCTGAGCCGGCTCTTCCCCATCTCCCTGCAGGCTCACAGGCTCAGGAGGACCCCTTTGTGGGGAGCCCAGGGAACATCACTGGTGCCCGGGAACTCACGGGGACCCTTCAGTGTGAGCTTCTGGTTCATGGGGAGCCCCCTGAGGTGACCTGGCTTCGGGATGGACAGGCCCTGGAGCTGGCAGACAGCACCCAGATCCAGGTGCCCCTGGGCGAAGATGAGCAGGACGACTGGAAAGTGGTCAGCAAGCTCAGGTGACCAGCCTCTCCCTGACCAACCACATCCCTACATCCCCCCTGACCCCTGACCCCCACCACCTCCATCACATGGTGGGTGAAAAAGTCACCACCAGGCGCTCCACCGGGGTTGGAGCCCCAGCTTGGCCACTCGCCCGCGGCTGTGTGGCTGTGAGCATGTGATGTAGCCCCGGGTTTCACTTTCCTCTTTTGTAAAAGGAGTTAATAATAGTGCCCACCTCTTAGCTCACGTGTTTCCAGTCCAGACCCCCGTCTTTCAGTTCTGATGCGTCCCTCCCAGTGTCCAGCTCTGATCCCAAACCTCTCTGTCCCTGTCAGGATCTTGTCCCTGCAGCTCTCGGACGTGGGATGGTACCAGTGCGCAGTGGTCCTGGGAGGAAGGAACTTTGTGTCCCAGCCCGGCTATATTGGACTGGAGGGTGAGCTCTGGGCTCAGAGGTCATGGGAGGTCAGGAACCCCAGGGGTCAAAGGGTGCTGGAAGATTCAGGATGTCTCCCAGGGACATACATGCTAAGAATGTCAGAGATCTGAAAGGATCAGGAAGCTTGGGTCCATAAATTATTGGGATTATAAGTCCTGCGGAAGAAGACATCTTGGGGTGGGGGGTGTTGTTGGATATCCTGGGGTCAGCCATGGTTGGGGTAGGATATTTTTCAAACAGATAAGGTGTCAGAGGCATGACTTAACCGTCTTCCCATCCTCAGGCCGCCCCCCCCCCCCCCCTTTCCTCATTGGTAAAATGGGATGAGAAGTCAGACATTCTGGAAAAGAAGGAGGGGCTTATATGTCCTGGGGGTCCGACATTGGTTGGGGGAAACAGGTATTGGGATGCTGTGCCCTGGGGGTAGAGGCCTGAGGGGACATACGGGTTCAAGAGCCTGCAGCCTCCAACAGCCTGGCAGTGAGTCAGACACCTGGGGGGCTCAGAGAGACCCAGCCTCTACCATCACCCCACCCAGGCCTGCCCTACTTCTTGGAGGAGCCTGAGGACAGGACTGTTACTGCCAACACCCCCTTCAACCTGAGCTGCCGGGCCCAGGGTCCCCCAGAGCCCGTGGACCTGTTCTGGCTCCAGGATGCTGTCCCCCTGGCTGCGGCCAAGGGCCACACCCCCCAGCACATACTTCATGTTCCAGGTGAGTCCGGGGTTGTGGCCAGCTCACTGTAGAGGCCCTGGCAGGATGGAAGTGGGAGAAGCGTGCCCTTCATGCTCCTGTGTGAGTGTCTGCCTGTCCCTCTGTCCTCTGTCCGTCTCTCTCGGTTCCTGTGTCTCTGCTTCTGAGTCCATCTCTGCATCTTTGCCCCTGTCTACCTCCTCACTTCTCCCCATATGCTTTCTCCATCTCCTTCTGTCTCTGTTCTTCATCGCTCTGTTTCTCCGTGTCCTGTCTCTCTGCTCTTTCTCCCTCCAACTACCCCAGCCTGTCTCTGAATAGAATTCTTTGTCCTGGGTTTCCTCTGAGCTGTTCCATAGCCCAAGTGTGTGTAGGCCTGATGGCCCTTTGTCAGCCCTTGACCCCAAGCAGGGCACCCGAATCAACCATGCCCTCCTCTCCTCCACCTCCCCCAACCTGTCTACCCCTGTCACTGAAGGGCCCCACTGGTGGGTACAGAACGTGAAGTAAAGAGAGAAGGTGAAAGTGGGAGACAGAGAGTGAGAGAGAGAGAGAGAGAGAGAGAGAGAGAGAATCAGAGACAGAGAGGGACAGACCACAGAGGTAACCCAAGATGGGGCAGGACCAAGCTTGGGGTCACACAGCAGTCTGTGGCATTGCTGGGGGACCATGGACACAGGGGGTTCCCCTTCACTGAGAAAGGAGAGAGAGGAATACAGAAGGGGGAGACTCAATTAGTCAGAGGGAGGTGGCTGGACCCTGTAGGGTATCAGTTTCCAGCACCCCCAACCTGCTCTCCAACTGCTGGGATGGGGAGGGGACTCCTGACTGAGGGTCTCCCAGGGTGGAGGGAGGTGCCCACATTCCCAGCATTCTGGGGACCCTGAGTGTGCAAGGGAAAGGTGGTGAGCATGCCAGCCCCCAGAGGGCTGACTCAGGCCAGTGGCTCTGGGGACTGAGTCAGCTTGGCAAGACCCCAGAGAGGGGGAGGGAGAGGAGGCTGGTTCCCCAACTCCATCCCAGAAGGAAAAATGGGGGGGACCACAGGTGGGAGAGGTCTGTGCATGTATCAGTATTTGGTGCAACTATAAGGGCAATCTCTGTGTGTGTGTATTTGTGTGTGTGGGGTGGGGTGGGGGGGAGGTTCTGGGTGTGTATCCATGTCCCTTTGGATCTGTGTCTCAGTGTCTGTCAGCATCAACCTCTTTGGATGAGGCGGGGGTGTTAGCAAGGGCCAGCTTCTGTAGCTGTCTCAGTGCATGGGGGAGGGGAGCATGGGTGTGTGTGTGCGTGCGCGCACGCACGTGTGTGTGTGTGTGTGTGTGTGTGTGTGTGTGTGTGACTAAGTATACCAGTGTCAGCCTGCGTCAGCCTTTGTGTTTGTGTGCTCGCAGCTGTGTATGTGTGTTGGGGGAGAGATGGCAGAGTGAGGGATCGCAGTGCATTCTGTGGCCATTTCCCATACCTCCCTATATAGAGGAGACAATGTCAGCTTACAGGTGTGCACCTATGGGTGCGAGTATCATGGTGTGGGCTTTTGCTTCCATGGAATTAGATTGTGTCAATGGACAACTTAGTGTGCTTTTTAGTGTGTTTCCACTGACTGTGGTTGTCTGTGTGTATACATATCTGTGTCCATGGATAACTGTGGTGTCTGTGTATTTGTCACAGGGTGAGCATGTTGGTATGGACTATGTCCCATGGACCCCTGTGTGTGTCTGTGTGTGTGTGTGTGTGTACGCACGTGTGACTCTCAGCAGACAGCAGCAACACCTTCCTGCCTCTGTCTGCTCTCCCTGAGTACCAGCCCGGCCCCATGCCCTCTGGGTGGATGAACATGGGGTGCTTAGCAGCCAGTGTGTAGATGTGTCTGTGCCGCCCGTGTGCACATGTCTCCCCTCCTGTGTGTCTGCCACAGCCCTCGTGTCCATGCAAGTGAGTGCTGTTGTATCAGTCTGCATCTCGATGAATGTCTTAAGCATCCTGAGTAAGTCCAGCTGTGTTTTGAAATCTTGGCTGTATTTTTGTGCGAGCAAGTCCACATTAACCTCTGCGGGTTCTGGCGTGTATTATTTGTCCACTTCAACCTCAACTTGTGATTGTCCCTTGGTGTGTGCCTCTCAACATGCAGGGAGGTTTGTGTGTCTGTCGGCTGCAGCCTAGGTGTATGTGGTCTTGCCAGGTGTTTGTAGTTCATGTGTACATGTCTGATTGTGTTTATGTTTGGTCTCTTCCTTTATTTGTGTCAGCCCGTGTGTATGGAAGTCACGGAGTGTGTATTTGTGTCACTGCGTGTTTGCCACAGCATCAGCCTTGTGCATAGCTTGTTGAGCACCGCATTCTCTGTTTTTGTGCCAATAACGGTCCCTGTGAGTTAGGAGTGATTCATTGGGGCGGGGGGGGGGGGGGCTGTGTTAAGGAATGTTAGCCCGTTTGTGTACATCTGTCCCTTGATCTGACTCAGGGCGTGCCCCCTCTCTCCTTCCATCCCTCTCTTTCCCTCGGAAAAAGCACAGGGTTGGGGGGAGGAGCAGGAGAGGACAGGAGGTGGACAGTGCATCTGGAAAGCACATCTGGAGTGGGCCTGCTCCTGCTGTGAGGGAGAGCCTGCTGCAGGGAAGGGGTCCCAGGTCCCTTCATCCCTGCTCTCCCCTCCCTCAAGGTGTTGGTGTCCAAGCCTGGGAAGGGGGATCCTGGGCCTCTCCCCGCAAGGCCAGCCGGAAGTGCAGGGGGTGGGGCCTGGTGACTCACTCAGACGGGGGCAGGAATGCTGTGGTCGGAACAGGACCGGGCTCCAGAACCCCCATCCTGCCCCAGGGCTCCTCTGGAGGACAGTGCCAGCTCCCACACAGTGACCCTGGCTCCTCTGGAGGACAGTGCCAGCTCCCACACAGTGACCCTGGCGGCCCCCACATGCCAGGTGGCTGGAGGGGACCCAGACGTCCCACCCCCTGGGAGCAGCGGCTGGCTGCGGGGCTGCGGGGGCAGGCGGGCACCTGACCTTGGCTGGGAACTAGCGCCTGGACAGCGGAACTGAGGAGCTTCCCTGCCCACCCCTTTGGGCGGCCAGCCAGCTTTCCCTCCTTCCACTCCCTCTGCTGACTAAGAAAAGGAAACTTTGTGTCTGCGGTAGATGGTGGTGAGAACAGGCGCAGAACAAACGCAAGAGGCACACGCAGCACCCAACATCCATAGACACTCACAGGTCCACAGCACACTGGTACAGGCATGGGCAGACAGGCACGAGCTACAGACTTAAGACTTAGTCCTCCTTACATCCTGTCACCCAGGGAGTGTGTGTGTGTGTGTGTGTGTGTGTGTGCCTGTGTTCCCACCATCATCACACTGGGGAGGGGAGGCAAGACACTCAAAAACAGTTATTCATGACACATACATTAACTCACCCTCAGAAGTACCCGTGCTCACATTTCTGCATACACAGCCAGAAACACTCATAAGTACACAAATGTATACACATAAATTCACTCACTCATTCGACAAGCATTTATAGAGCACCTACTGGGTGCCAGGCCATCTTAGACACAGGCAATACAGCAGGGGACAAGGCAGACAGAAACCCCTGCCCATGTTGCTGACATGCTAGTGGAGTTGACATTGTGATGAGAATAGCCAAAGGGAAAATAATAAAGCAGAAAAAAGGCTAGATATGGAGGGAGGTTCCAAATTTATTTCTTTTTAAAATTTTTAATATGTTCCCATTCATTTCAGAGAAAGGAAGGGAGAGGGAGAGAGACAGAAACATCAATGATGAGAGGGAATTCAACCCACTGCCTCCCAAATGCCCCCCACTGGGGACCAAACCTTGACCTCCTGGTTTAATCCCTGAACCACACCGGCCATGCAGTTCTGATTTTAAACAAGGCGGTCAGGGACAGAAGGGCTGAGAAGGTGGGATCTGAGTAACAATGTGAAGGGGTGGGGAGTGAACCACTTGGATGTCAGTGGGAACACTGTTCCAAAAAGAAGGAACAGGAGTACAAAGTTCCCGAGGTGGGAAAATGCTTGATGTATGCTTCCCAGAAACACCAGAAGAGTGAGGTGTGAGTGAGTGAGGGGGAGTGGACTTGGTAGGAGCCGAGCTTACAAACAAACTAGAGGCCCAGTACACAAAATTCATGCGGGGGGGGGGGGGGGGGAGGCCCGCGCCCTCTCCCGAATCCGACTTTTCTGGGGGTGGTGGGGGTTTAGGCGGATTCCGGGGGCGGGAATTCCTTTCCAATACAAAAACGCGTGCCCTGAAAAATGGGCCCAAAATTGCCACTTTCTTGCCTCCTTTGCGGGGGCCCCCAGAAGAACCGCCCTCCGGGTATTTTTCCCCCGA